AGTTTCATTCATAGGGCAAACACATGCTGCTCTGGGAAGGAGTTTGTTTGCCTCAATCCTTGAAATGTCCAGAATTCGTTCCAATTAACCCAGTGAGGGGTCTTAAGGGATCCTGAAGTCCTAAGCCAGGGAACCTGATGAAATTACAGGAGTGCGAGTGGGAACTCTCCTGAGCTCAGATTGCTCCAGGTATAGAGCTCCTTTAAGATTTCCGGAGGAACCAGCAAGTAAGCAGGACTATTTTCAAAGCTATTTATGTAGATAATCAGAAAGCATAAAGTAGGTATCTTAGGGCAAGACCAGGTGAATTGGATCTTTTAATGTTTCAGGAACAGATGGGCCCTATGACTTCTAGCCCCAAACCATTTCCAATTCAGTCCCACTGTCTGGACTCCCAAGACCTTTCTATGCCTCCTATTGTGACCATAAACCAGGCAAGAAAAGGGTTACTGAGAATCTGATCTGTAATTAACATGGTCTGTCAAATGTTTTCCAGACAAGGAGAAAAATAAATGAGCAGTTTTTCAGAGGTTGATGTCCCCCTTTTTGCAGACATTGCCATCCTACAATGAAACTTACACAATTGCTGCAAGACTCCTATAAATTACTCCAGCTCTAAGTGACCAAAATTTACCATGGACCCATTATGTAATGACATGTTCCTTGAATTCAGTATGTAATGGCATGTTCCATTGAACTTGCTATGTCATGGTACCCTGACTTTGTTATGTAAATGGTGCCTTGAACTCATTATGTAATGATCTGTACTTGTGCCCTGATTGAGCCCAGTTGTTACACAGTTGTAACATATCTTGTGCACTCTGATGTACAAAGTCTCCACCAGCACTAAGCTCGGAGAGACACTGTTTGGGGAGCTATCCCCAGTGTTCTCCATTGATTGAGCAAGCAATAAACCTTTTTCTCTACCCACTTCATCCTTGGTAGTGTTTTTAGCTCCACACTCGCCAAGAGGCGAACCCAGTGAGTTTGGTTACACTATGAGCTGCAGAGGATCCATCAATGTAAAAGCGATGCCTTCAGATGTGTTCCCCTATTCTGCAAGGAGCTCATCCAGGAGGATACACGCTATGTAAGGATGTAAGGGGCAGAGGACACTTCAATGATAACCTCCCCCTCATCTCCACAAAGAGGTTCTGTAAAAATCATTAGCAGTTCTGCCCTATCTGATTCTCTGCATCAGCTTCTCTCCAAATGGAAAAGTGACCCTGTGCTCTTTTATTTCCTCTCCCTGAATGTTTTGCATCTATTAAACCAAAGCAAGGAAGCACAAACTCAAAGATGGAAGGTCCAAAGTCGGAAAGGGCAGGTGAGCTGATCAATGGGAGCGTCTTCACATCCAGCACAGAAATTCTTCTTTCCTAACAAATTCCACTGTTCAACTTGTTTCAAACTCCAGAATGAGTAACTGCATACGTTAAAAAGTGCATTTATATCCAGAGGGGAGTGTTTGTATATATGTTTTAGTTAATAAATAAAAAAGTATCCTGACCTCTGAGAGTCACTCAATAAATCACGTCTATTATTTACATTTATCATCATTATCCTTAACTTTTCCGCATATCCTTTATTAGGGAACAGTTTGTTCTGCTACACTATTGCTGCTATGAGTCTTTCTTTCATGACAAAACAGACTCCTGAGTCTTTTTTATTCATATTTTCTCAATTACTATTAAAAAGTTAATTTTAAATTTCTCAGTATTTGGGGTTTTATTTTTTGTGTATATAAGTTGACTCAGTATTAATTATAAATTTTATTGCCTTGTAATCACAAAATTGACCTATAAATTTTCCTTCTTTCCATTTATTTGCATTTTTATCAGGCCAAGTAAATTATAATTTTAAAATAAGTTTTCAAGGTAAACTTGACTGTTAATATTTAAGGTGTAGCATCACTTATGTTTTTAAAATAAGTTTTAGTGTTCACATATTCTAGATTCATACTTATTTTTGGTCATTTTGCTCATAAAAATGAAGAAAATCTTATTATATTTCTATTGAATCATTTTAAAATACGAGTCTACCATGTCGAGATTCATGAAAGAAAGCCAAACAAATATTCAGGGGAAAAATAATATCATTTAAATATTTTCATTATTAGAAAAGAAAGTGAAAAGATAAACTGTTTGAATATTTCAGATTTCAGGAAAACAAAAGAAAAATGTTAAAGAATCTAGGAGAAAGAAAACAATGCAAATATAATCAATTCAAAAGTAAACTTAAGAGCAAATAAAAATATTCAAAATAAATTAGATAAATTTTGGAAACTTTTAAAAAGCAAATAGCAAGTGAAAGTATATATGAGAAATCATGAAATATGTGGAAAAATTAAAATATCACTGACAACACCAAATTCAGTGATAATCAATAAATTAGAAGTTAAAAATGAAATGGTAAAAATGACGTAATGAGAAATAGACAATCAAGGTTTGAGCTGGACTTCCGTCCTGGAGAGGTCTGGTCTATGTCTCGTTCACCCTGTTTACGCTCCAGCCCCTCAGTGGTCCGAGTGAAAAGCCTGCACTGTTCACCAGGTCTCATCCTCCACGGTGAGCCCTGGACTCTGATTTTTGTCCCTCCAGCCCTGAGAAGTTGCTGAAAGCTCTTTTCAGTGTCTCAGCCTCTTAGCTACCACTTTAGGTTTTGTAATTAGCAATCCTCTTAAAGAGAAATGTGGCCCCAAATGTTGAGCTCAACCTCCTTTGGCTCCTCTAGATCTTGTCTCTGCATATTTTCATTGCCTGGGTAGCTCTCTGATGGCTTCAACCATCTGTTTTATTTTATTTAGCTTGTACTCCATGGGAGGGTTGGTCCAAACCTCTGGTCAACCATAAATAGAACTCAATTTAATCATCTTTGAAGATAAACAGATCTTTCAGGGTCCACTCTTTATATAAAATGCTTGCTTTGGTGCATTCTCTTTGACTCATCTTGTTTATCTGAGCACTATTTATATAGTGAGGGAATCTTCTCTTAAAGTGAGTGGAGGTCATGGTATTTGTTTGCATTCACTGTAGAGTCTTTTAGCTTCCCGAGCAGGTTGGGAATGATGCGTGGCTTTGAGTAGTTGTAGGTGAAGGATTCTTTCTCCCCTGCCTGTCAACCTCTAATTTTGTTGAAGCTCCAAACCCATGCATCAGCTTCGCTGAGTGAAGGACATATACTGTGCTCTGAAGGCTGAGTTTGAGCCTGTGCTGCTTCCCCTCGGTGAGGTGATTTTTGTCAGCAGTTCCCCCATTCACTCTTTTTGTTTAGTGTGTTCAAACTTTCTTCCAGTTGATTGTTTCTTTCCTCCAGCTGGGTCCCAACCAAGGCAATGATTTCTGTGACATTATTTACCACACCTCTTCTGCCTTCTTAGTGAAGTGCTAGTAATCTTTCAGAGATAATGGTTAAGTGCTTTGTTGCTAAGCCAGTTTCCAGGATTCAAATCCCAATTCCAAAGCCCACTGGCATGTGCCATTGAAAGAGTGATTTAACCTGAGTTACAGTTTTGTTATGTGCAAAATAGGCATAATAATTGTACCTACCTCATGGGTTATTGTGAAGACTAAATGAGAGAAGAAGAACTCAATAAATATTGGCTATTAGTAGTTGTTACTATCTTGAGGGAGTAAGTGCTTCCCTTTTTTCCTCCGGGTGTACAAACCCCTTAACGTCTTTTTCAGCATATTGGGGAATGTCAGCCACTGCTTTAGAATTTCCTCCTGAGAAGGATACATTATCCTGTGCATTTTCGCTAGCAAAAAAAAAATCCTGTATAACCTAAATCTTATCGTGAAGAAACAATCAGATAAACCCCAATTGAGGATCATTCTAAAAAACGGTGAGCCTATATTCTTCAAAAACATCAATGTAGTATAAAACAAGGGCAGGCTGAAAATATACCAGGTTAAAGGAAACTAAAGAGACATGAAAACTAAATGCAATGCATAATCTTGGATTGGATGCTGAATTAGGGAAAAAATCTGTATAAGACATTATTCGGCCAATTTTTAAAATCTAAGTATGTTGTATATATTAGATATTGTTGTATTAATGTTACATTTCCAAGATTTGACCATTGTGCTGTGATTATATAAGAGAATGCCTCGTTCTTTAGCATAATACATGCTAAAATTTATCATGATACATGCTAAAACGTCTAGGGCTTAAGTGTCATGAGGTCTGCAACTTCCTCTCAAATGATTCACAACAATGACAATAATACAAATAATATGTATATATGTTTGCATATAAATATATGTATATGTGTGTATATGTGTATGAATTTATATACCTACAAAGCAAATACAACAAAATGTTAAAAACTAGTAAGTCTAGATGGGGAGAATATGGGAATTCATTTACTATTACAATTTTTCTCTAGGCTTGAATTACAGCTTTATTTTATTTATTTATTTTTTTGGTGAGGAAGATTGGCCCAGAGCTAACATCTGTTGCCGATCTTCCTTTTTTTGCTTGAGGAAGAGTGTTCCTGAGCTAACATCTGTGCCAATCTTCCTCTATTTTGTATATGGGACATTGCCACAGTATGACCTGATGGGCAATGCCAATGTCTGCGCCCAGAATCCGAACCAGCAAACCCCAGGCCGCTGAAGCAAAGCAATGTGAACTTAATCGCTAAGCCACCAGGCCAGCCCCTGAATTACAATTTTAAAAATTAAAAAGTTAGAAATTCTGGCTCCAGTATATCCCTATAATTATAGAGTAAAATAAAGCTTCTACACTCAGGCTCATCAAGAATTTCTGTTGATTTATATGAATGGATCATCTTTCTTATTTCTTTGCATGCTTCACAACATTTTGCTGAAAATGAATTTTTTTAATAGTAGAATGTGGTAACCCTGAAAATCTGGTTCATCCCCCGTTCAGGGTTTTTCTGTTGCTTGCTGTAGGCTGCAGCTGATTGTTTAGTGTCTTTTCTAAAGTATTTTTGTAAAGTCTGTATTCTTTGTCCTGGGTGGTCTCTGAAGTCTCTGTTCCTTTCGCTTGCATTCAGCTAGTGTTTTGACAGAGATTTCTTGAACGTCAGGAGGCAAAAAGAGAGAGAGAGAAACTCTCATTCTTTGCAGGTTAGCTCTATGCCTGGGTCTTCATTCAATACTCCGTTCATCTACAATTCTGCCTCCACTTCCTTCACTTCGCTTCACTTGCACTGAGCCTGGAGATCAGCCAAAGACGAAATTCTAGGGCCTTCTCAGGACTTTTGTGAGCATGTATCTAAAGCAGCCTCGAGCACCTAGAGCAGCCAAACAGAGACAGAAAGTAGAAGCATGGTTGCCAGGGGCTAGGGCAGAGGGGAATGGGGAGTTTGTTTCAGTTTTGCAAAATGCCAAGAGTTGTGTGGATGGATGGTAGTGGTGGTTGCATGACAGTATGAATGTACTTAATGCCACTGAACCGTACACCTAAAAATGGTCCCAGTGGAAAATTTTATGTTGCGTGTATTTCATCACAACTAAAATATTATTGATGTTGATTACTGAGGTTTTAGACACCCCCTTAAATTTTGCTCCCAAGGCTCATCCTAGTGGGTTGGCATCCTCACTCAGTCCCATCTCAACTGGAAGAACAGGAGACTCTGGGCCAGAACCCTGAATCCCACCCCTAGTTTCATTTCTTGTCCGTCAGTTGCTGGACAGTTCCAGAGGATCCAGAAGCCCCTTACGTAGCTAAAGAGGATCAAGGACCCGTGTCTCAGTCCCAGAAACCAAAGATTTCTGCATCTCGGTTCTGCAGAGGCAAGAACTGAGGGTCAGGTGGCCTGTGGCCCTGATGTAGGAAGCAGCAGTGTGTCCCAAATTGTGCCCCACTGGGTTGGAGAAAATGCTGCAGATGCTCCACCTGTGCAGAGCTGAAACTAGCAGAGCCTAAAGGACACCTTGGAACCTGCTCTCAGCCTGACGATTCCGAGGCTAGTGGGTAACCAAGGGCCCAGGAAACCAGTTGGTTGCTCCTAGAAGCCCTCGCAACCATGGGCAATTTGACATTCTTCTTGGCTAGACTTGAGTTGCTTTCCTTCCTCTCTAAGTAGCTTCAATGTCTTCTCAGTCCCTACAATGTGCAGGGCTTTTGGCTCGAAGCAGAAGAGGAAGAAGAACTGGATTTCACTAGGGGGAGGAGCCACAACCAGCACAGCTTATGGACTCCCCGATAAGGCCCAGCCGCCTCTTTCCAGGGGTTTTAATGAGAGAAGCTTCTACATGCTTCACACCAGAAATCTCTTTTCTTGGGGGTAAAAAAAAAAAAAAGTTGTGTGACTTAATTGTTTTGGAAATTTCCATTTTTCATATGATCTAATACCCGAGTGACTAATGAGGAATCTTTCAGATTTTCTGGAAAAGAAACCAATTCAATGTCCTGCACCCAGAAATGTGGAATGAATGGACCATATTCAGTGTAAGCCAAGAACCCTGGGAAGGCAACACTGGTTGCGGTTCCTGGCTATCCGGCTGTACAGGATTTTGCGATGGGAAGTGTACTGGGCTCTCCACTGGGGTAGCCAGTTGG